TTCTTTTAAGACGATAAATTTGTGAAAGCTGTAATAATTTTGTGGCCAAAAAGGTATTGTTAGAAATAGGCCCTATTGACAATTTCTACCGTTCACAATTATAGGGTTAAAATAATGCAAATTTTTTCAATGCGTTGTAACTTAGAATTTCGCAAATTGACTTTCTACGGCTTAACTAGGCCCCAATCTATTAGAAAATCGAAACAAATCTCTGGGCAAACGATTTTAAGTAGCCCGCAAGACCTCGAGTTCAACCCTAATTTTGCGAAAAATCGCGACATTCCAGTGGTTAAAAATAGCGTTATACGGCCGGCCCGTCACGCCAGCGGTGTTAACGACGGTTCTATTTCTATTCAACGCTGATCACAAGCCAAATTCCAGTATACAATCTATATTACATCTTTCAATACACTTATCTTATTTAGAAGAGTCGTTTTGTTTGGATACAATATATAGTATAGAATTGCCCAAAAGTCGGCTTTTTTGAGCGACGTCGGCAGGACGTCACGACCGAGCCCAACGAAAACAAACTTTAAACAAGTACAGTGATGTGTTTTATTAATTTAAGCATCCGTCGAAAGGCATAAATACGTTAAATTTAAGAAGGGGACAACCAATAGTAACTAATTAGAACACTTTTTTTTTTCTTGCGAGTTTTCTCTTTCAAGCAATTATGTATAAGTACACATGTACGTTCCGATGTATTACTATCACGCTTATAAAGGTACATTGTAACGAACGTTTCAGAAAACATTTTAACTCGTTTCGATCGACGATGAAATACCATCATCGAGAACAAATCGCCAAAAACTTTCTTCTACAGCAAAATGGAAAACAGAAAAAAAAAGTGGCGTTTTACTAATGCTAAAGCAGGAATAGTTGCAGCTTGAGTATGAGCTTTTAAAAACGTCAAATGCTCCTAAATGGACATCTATAGATCCCTTGCATCGGCATTGGAAAAAACTCTCTGGCCCACTATGAACTAGCCTGTTCCAGGCGTAGTGGATAGTGGACAGTAGCGCGGAATGGGGAACGCAGGAAAACAAACGTGGAAGAGAGTAGGAGGACCTTTCGCCCTCTCTCCCAAACCCCGCCCTTCGCCATTTTTTCTAGCTCACTTTTCTTTGTGTTTTCCCAACTATCTGTTACAGGTTATCTACGTCGTTCATTTCCAAATTTTTATGGTATGTGTTCAACTTGAGCGTCGAGCACTTTTGACGCTTTGTTATTGACCAGCGGGGGAACGGATTTGGTAGTACTAACTTTTCAACTGCTTTTAGACTGTGAAACTGTCATTTTTCTATTTTTTGTTTTCTTTCTTTTCTTTTTTCTTTTTCAGTTTCTATCGTATTTTTTAGACGTATTTTTCGCTTCTCTCCTTAGTCTCACTCACTCTCCCCCCCTCTCCCACCCCATATGCTCCACACAAAAGGGAACAGCCATTTTGTTTTGCTCCAGACCATTCGTTTGACTATTTCGCGTTCTTGGCTTACGCAAAAAGTACGGGCTGCTTTGTGGTCTGAAACAGACTCGCACCCAGTCGCCATTTATGTGTTTTGGGGGTGAGAGAAGAGTAGGTTGAGGTGCGCGCGGGGTCTCATGGGAAGGGACGAAGGAAAAATAGCTCGCGCGCCTCAACCTAATCCCCACTCTTCTCTCACCCCCAAAACACATAAATAGCGACTGGGTACGAGTCTGGGTCTGAAAGACTTTGCACTCATTGACGTTTTAGTGTCATGGAAACTCTAGCTGTAATCCTGAACTGCAGATGACAGGTTAAAAGACTGAAAGTTCCTTTCAACAGCGTTTGGAAAGAGAACATCGTCTTTTCCGCAAAAAAGAAAAATAACAATAAAAATAGGGAAACAAAATAGTGTATAATACTAAACCTAAGAAGAATCTTGTAACGAACGAATGGGAAAGACAGACTTGAGGACTTTCCTCATCCTCCGTAGCCTTAGTCCATGAAACTTAGACGCCCAAGAAGGCCTCCAAAACCGGCTTACCTTTGTCTTGTCCCAAAACCGAATTAGACTAAGAGCCTTAGTCTGCTTTCCGTAAGTACCGTGTAGATCTCCAGAAGAATTGTTTGCAGCCGGCCCTCAAAACCCAAAGAGACTTCGCCTGCTGCTGGACAATATATAGGAAGGCTATCCCAAAGAACTGCACCAGAAAAACTATTTTTGGGGTAGAGGAATAGCGAGGTTTCTGTTGGTGTCTCCTAATTAGTTATTGGAGATATTGCAACGATCTGTCATTGCTACGATCTACTATGCACTTAACAAGACCCCTCAAGGTACCTAAGATATGTGACGCATAGTCTGCGATAGACCAGCCTCTTACCGCTCTTTGACGAAATGTCCCCAGTGGCAGATAGCGATGAGAGGAAGCTGTATCGCAGGCTTTTGGACATAAGGCTTTTCTACTATTTACATGGGTAAACCGGTCGCTTCACGATTTGGGCTAATGGTGAGCAGAATTCAGGACTGACGAATTTTGATTCCGTTCGGTAATCGAGTTTACGATTGCCTAAGTCAATTTCGTTTAATGAAAAACGGCCGCAAAAGCCTGAAACTAATATTCAAAAAAGGTTTGAAGACATGAAATCCGAATTTCCGCCTGGAAGTTTCCAACCAGGAAAATAGCCGAATGCCTTTTCAGAAGTTCCTTTTCTTACAAAAATTTTCAACTGAAACATCGAAAGCAACCCGAAACTGAGGTAATGGTAAGCCCCACGTAGCTCGAAAAGAACTCTTGCACCAATACTTAGTCGAAAATATTTTAAAACTCCTTCAAGGAAATTAGTTTTTATAAACCAAATGGCATTGATTGGCGATGATTTAATTCGTAAATATCTCGCAATGCAAAAATTCATTCAGTAAACAGTTTTAGGTTTTAGATTTTGTCCTGTTTATATACCATTTTTTGAGGGAAATCGCCAGTCTGAAACTGAACATGAAAGTGTGTGACGCTATCCAATGCCCAGGGACGCTATATGTTGTATCTGAAGAAAACGCTACAATCAATGAGAATAATAGTTTTACTGAAAGATTTAATTTCGAATTGGCTTTTAATCTGCCTTTAAGTAAATTGTTTAAAGTGTATCTATCGGTAACACTGGCGTAACGGGCAGTGTAACACTATTTTAATTTAACCACTTGAATGTCGCGATTTTTCGTAAAATCGTTTGCCCAGAGATTTGTTTCGATTTTCTAATAGATTGGGGCCTAGTTAAGCCGTAGAAAGTCAATTTGCGAAATTTTAAGCTATAGCGCATTGTAAAAATTTGCATTATTTTATCCCTATAGTTTTGAAAGGTAGAAATTGTCAATAGGGCCTATTTTTAACAATACCTTTTTGGCCACAAAATTATTACAGCTTTCACAAATTTATCGTCTTATAAGAAAGAAAGAGTGATAAAAACTATTCGTGTTTTTCAAAGGCTGCCAAATCGTTGTGGTTTGACGTACGAGTCAATGGAATTTGTGTAAAATTTCCCTTTACCGGAAGTGGATTTGGAGCTCTGAACGGGCAAAATGCGTTTTCTCGAATTTTAACAAAAGAACTCGTTATTTGGGAAACCTAACTGCCGCATGTTTCATTACTCATTAAGGGTTATCGATGAGCCAAAAATGAGCGAAATCAAATTTTGAACTTGTGCCGACCGTGGGTCGATATTTACGGAAAGCCGCTCTTAAACAGTTCGCGCAATTTTGTCATTCACTATGAACAAAAAGAATCCGCAAGTAAAGCGAACGCGAGAGGCCGGGCATAACACTAAATTTACATAAACTGAAATAGACTAATACCTCGTCACTTTGATCCACATCTTCAATACTCTCAAGAAACTTTTTGACCGTCTCGCGTTGTCCACTTACAGCATCCCTGTGCAGAGAACCTTTCGACGCCTGTAAAAAAAAAAAACATCCTTTAACCAAACTGTGATCATATATCAAGTTGCTGAAGGCCAGTTTCATCAGTGCAACCTTTTGGCCACGTGCAAACGGCCAATTTAACCAACATTGTTGGATGTTACATTTTGCGCCCGTTTACACACCCTGTTCCATGTTGTTGCGTGTTCGCGGGAGTTAAATTCGTTTGCATACCACTTCTAACACGTATTAGTCCAGTCATTTTGTGGCTGGACCTGCCACTAATTGCAACAGAACCTTTCTCTTCGCCAATCATTTAGGAATGGTCTCTAGATTAACATACTAAAAGTCCCAAAGGATCCAAGCACGGGAACATGTCAAAATTTAAATGGCTAATAACTAACGCTTTGCTGGGACATGGAAACGAGGCTAAGAACCGGAAGTTGCTTTTATTCTACTTGTTTATCGCCAGAACTGCACCCGATTCTTCCAAATTTGATTAATAGTACTCCAGGTAGTTCTGTGAACTTTCATCTTGTAGATATCTTCACTAAATCATGTATAAGTCAAATAATTTCATTAACATTTCTTACTCAAAGACATACAGAATTTCATTTTTTGTCCCTCAGAGAGGTCGGTACTAAAGAAAGGCTATGACACTTCGTTATCGCTGAACAATACGCAGTTACTAAAACCGACTCGTTTTCAAACATACAGATAAGGAAGATATGTTTTCAAAAATACAATATACTCCCGCAGTACTGTCTTATAAAGTTTAAGGTACTCAGATTATTTTATGACTTTCGTGCTTTTTTTTCCACGTTACACGTTTACTCATCTTGGCTGTCATCTTCGTCAAACTGGATTGGACAATTTGTACACGCCGTACCTCTGCATTGGCCACATGCAGGTGAACACTCTAGACCATGTTTACGACAGGTGCATCTTGCGCTGGCACAATCTGACGAGCAGTTACACTTTATCATCTGCAGAAGCGACTCCAGTGCGGCTGGTAGGTCAGTCATCCGAGGGAGTACCTGGCCTTCCGTCACCTTCCATCCATAGTCCTCCAATGACATGCCTTCGTTTTCGCCTTTCCATTACTTCACTTGCAGGTACACTCTTAGG